CGAGTTCCTCCAGTTTGTTCCCCATGCTACGAGCATTGATACCTTTTCATTTGATATTTTTTAATGTACCTGTTAGAATTTCTGCTCATACTAGACAGTCCTGGAATTAGCTCTAATGGAAATCATCTCACATAGCACCCTAAATGGGCAGTCGACAAAATGGATCCCATTGCAGTAGGCAGCACAAACTCTGGGCACTACTTAAGTCCTATTAAACATTACTCTGAGGAGTAGGGACTTTTAAATAGGGACTTTAATGATGATGGCACTCCACATTGGTTTTATTTCAGACAATAGTACATAATATTTGCCTTGCCAGTGACCAAATCTTGGATTATACTATTTGCAGCACACACTATAACTACCCCCATCTCCTCCTATGTTCAGGACTTGATCAGTTCTGCGCATAGAACAAATAACATAGGGGGAAAAAGTTCTAAGACAAGTATATGTCCTAAAATATGGCAGCATGTTGTGTTATCAAACAACTTACTGAGGTGAACCCCTCCTTCTTCCCCTAGGTAAGATTACCTTCAACTACAATGACTACGACAACTTCCACAAGCACAACCCCAAATGCTAGGTCATTAGCGAAAGAAAGTTCACCAAAGCAGGAAGTCAAGCTGGAAGAGGCCTGGCTTGCAGCCAGAAAAGTCCAAATTACAAGCAGAACTGCCAGGAAAAGGATGTGAATGGTGCTTCCTGTAGTTTCCCTGGCTCATTGCCTATGCTGGATTTAATTATTCCACTTATTTTTGTCACCTTTGAAACATCTTTTGTTTTGAATTCTTCACCCTGAAATAGTTTGTGAATCCAGGCAGTATTAAAACAACGCATCACAGGAGTGAAGGAGGGAAATATCTCTGACCTTTCCAATAGTGGCTTTCATGTGTGCATGTGTGATTTTCTTGAAACACATTATAAATTAATCAAATTACTGAAGGAATCAAAGCAAACATTTCTCACATGGCAGATTGCCATAATACTAGCTGAGTACTCAATGCTAGACATAGCAAATAGGAGAAAGGGACTAGTCTTTGTAGATGGCCCTTCAGTTTACAATACATAGAGAAAATGCTACAAATATGAACAGGCGTCTGGCTGGTCAGACACTGGTATTTTACAGGAGCTCACATCACATTTTCATGTAGATGATTTAAAAAATATAATTCTCACTAAGCCTAACCTAACACCAGCCTCCATCCTGAACATCTTGTAGGCTTCACAGGGCCCATTGTATATGACCACTGTGGCCAGTAAAGACAGATAACCAATGTAAGTACATGAAAGGTTATTTCTGTGAAGGTACAAAAAATGTGAATATAATCCAGCTAAGAATAATTAAGTTAAAAGTCTCCCAAGATTAATTCTGTCATAGGGCTAAATTGTCAGGTCAGCACTCCATGCTAAGCTTTTACTCAGGCAATTCTCTCACTGAAATCAATAGGAATCCACCTGAGAAAAGACCTCTGCATTTGACCCAATATATGTTCTCATTTTTGCTACCAGACCTGGCCAAAATAATAATTTCCAAGATGAGTGAAAATGAAACCTATGTGGTAAGGGTTCTCTCACCAGCACTGTTCTGGACCTCCACATGGGGTTCAAAGCTTTGGAAAACTTTCTGGAAAACTTTTGGAAAACTTTATGATTTTTTACAGACACATTTTTCTTTCCCCATCTCAAGATGCAGGCAAAATGTGAATTTTAGAGTATGTTTACTGATTGCTATTCACTCTTTCAAATAAATACCCATGTATAAACTGTAGGCATAACAACAATAGGCCTGAGCCTTTTCCTGAATTACTCTATTTTAACATCACTCTAACTCCACTGACTTCATTTAAGGGTGGACAAAGTCTGGCCTGTGGGCAGATTTCCCAGCAGCCCCTGGCCACACTGTTCTGGCCGGTCTCCGTGGAGACTCTAGGAGCAGCAGGGGCTCCCTGCTCCAAAGGGTCTTCAAGGAGACCAGCCCAAGTGCCACTGGCAGGGTACATGGCTAGGCGGAGAGCTGCTCTGGGATCCTGCAGTAGTGACAGCATGGTCCAGAGCTGCAATCCACTACCCATATGCACCCATGACAAGTGCAAAGGCATGCAGGCAGCAGATCACAGCTGTCCTGGCTCCAGCCTGTGCTGTCACCGCTGCAAGATCCCGGTCTCAGAGTGGCTCCCTGCCCAGCTGTGCATCCTTCCAAGGGTTCCTTAGGCTGATCCTTCATTGAGACTTTTTGGAGTGCAGGGCTGTCACAGCCCCACTGCTCCTGGGGTCTCCATGGAAACCAGCTGGAGTGGCATGGGCAGGGGTTGCTCGGAAATGGAGTCTGGTCATCATTTTGCCCACCCGAATCTAAGCAATTCCCAATTCGCCCTAGAAAATGGCACCCAGTGCATTTATTTTCTTGAGAATTAATTGTTACCTCTTTTCAGTCCTTCTTCTTTCATTTGTTTCAAAGGTGATGGGCCAAACTCCTCCTCCACAGGCCGGAACATCCTTTTAACCAGGATGCTGCTCCTAGAAAACAACCACATAGACATTTTGCACTAGTTATTCCCACAGTAAAAGAGAACCCAACAGTGAGATACAACTCTGTACTCTGGCAAGATTCCTACCAGCTTTCTAACACCAGAGCAAAAACTGCAGATTTAACTCTTGATGCTTATCTAAGTGACCCAAGCTTAGAATGGCAGATGACAGGAAAATATGGTTGCAATGATAAACATAACTGGTAAAGCCTTAAAGCCACTGTCCATTTAAACATATGGGAATGGAAGAAAAAAAAAGAGAGACCTAAGTGAGGAGATAAACCACCCCTAGCTGCTGATACTCCTTCAGGTGGAGTCAGAGACAAAACAAGGCAATGCTGGCAAGCTTGCCTGTTACTAAGGTGTAAGTTTGGAAGGGATATCCAACAGCAGATCAGGCCCAGCTCCCTGGGGTGAATCTCAGGACTCATGAAGTCAAAAATATGGCCATAGGAGTTTGGTGGTTGGGATACATTGACCGCAGAGCTATGTATGCATTTTACATCTGCCCACCATGGTAATCCCTGGAGTTGGGTAGCAGTGCTTAGGAATCAAAGGAGGATGCAACTGCACCACTGTACCCACCCACAATCTCTCCCCACCAGGCCCCCAGTTCTCCAGGTTTGACAATGCTGGCCTCTGTGATCAAGCTTCTCAGAAAACTAAAGTGTCATATATTTTATTTGTCGGCAAAACACACTGCAATCACCTGGTGCTCCTCTCATTCCTCCATTCATCCCCTAAGCCAGTGGTTCCCAACCTTTTTTATACTGCAGACCATCACGAGCGTGGGATGAGGCGCACAGAGCCGGCTGCCTCTCTGCTGGGGCTGCCCCACTGCCCAGCTTTAACCCTGCATGTGACCGCCAATGGCAGAAGCCACTTGTCCGGGTGGGCAGACAGTCTTGTGCAGTCAACCCTTCATGGCCCAGTGATTGGGAACCTCTACCCTAAGCTCACTGTATAAGGGCACCACCCTCTCCTTCATCCCAATTTCAAGGATTTCCCAATACTCCTATTCTTCCCCTCCTCCAGAACCTACTACAGACTCTCTCTCAGGTTTTGTATTCCATGTAGAGGCTGCCTGCATTTCAGGGTTGAGTTAAGCAATTCCTAGATGCATAGGACCAGATCTCAATCCCAATTCTAAAACTAAGGGCCTCATCATACATTATGTTTAGAACCTGATTAAGGTGTTAATCACGCCATAAATAGTTACCTGGTCACACATTAAAACCAATAATGGCACGATAATATAACAAGAGACCATGAAGATATTCTATATATAACATGTTTTAGGGTTGTTGCTTGTAGCCGTGTTGGTCTAAGGACATAGGCAGACAGGGTTCTTTGGGTAGATGTGATAACTTTTATTAGATCAACTAAATAGTTGAAAAAATTGTTCTTTGCAAACTTTTGGGCACAAACACCCTTCTTTAGGCATAAAGACTCTCCTTATGCTGGAAGAAGGGTGTTTGTGCCCAAAAGCTTGTAAAAAACAATTTTTCCAGCTATTAAGTTGATCTAATAAAAAGATATCACACCTACCCAAAGAACCCTGTCTGCATATATAACATGTAACATAGTTTCATAGATTAAGGGTCGGAAGGGACCTAGTAGATCTTCTAGCCCGACCCCCCACCAGGGCGGGAGAACAAAAACACCCCAAAACAAGAAACGGGACTCACATGAGCCCACGAAGGAAGGCATCCAGCCTCTTCTTAAAGACCCCCAGGGTAGGGGCCAGCACCACTTCCCTTGGAAGTTGGTTCCAGCTCCTAGCCGCCCTAACTGTGAAGTAGTTTTTGCGGATGTCCAATCTATACCTCCTCTCCATCAACTTGTGCCCATTACTCCTTGTTATGCCAGCAGGCGCTAGGGGAAACAGCGTCTCCCCCAAACCCTTCTGGTCCCCCCTAGTGAATTTATAGACGGTCACCAGGTCCCCCCTCAGCCTTCTCTTGTGGAGGCTGAATAGGTTCAGGTCCCACAGTCTCTCACTGTAGGGTCTGCCCTGTTGTCTCCGGATCATGCAGGTGGCCCTCCTCTGGACCCTCTCCATGTTGTCCACATCCCACATCTTTGTAGTTCACCTGGATCATGCCTTAAACTAAACATGTAGCATGTCAGGGCCCACCCATGACATACCCCACTCAGCTGAGTGCAAAGATTTGTCATGGGGCATATCCATGGGTGAAAGCACAGCCACCCCCTATCTGATCAGTAGGACTGGGCTGGGGGCAGCACCAGGTCCCGGACCCAGCGTCCCTGTCCAATCCCTGGAGGCAGATGAGGGGTGGAGAGGAGCTCTGTGAGCCTGACATCAGGGAGCATTTCCCCCCATCTCAAGACCACTGTGCTCCTGACCTTTAAAATGTGGGTATACAGCTTGGAGCTCCAGCTGCACACCTGTTCTTTTAAGTTTCTGGGGTGCTCATGGAAGCAGCAACTGGGGAGCTGGAAGTTCTGTTCCACAAATGTAGGCACCCCTCCATGGTGTGGTGTGCAGACAGCTAGGGAACCAGGAGCTTCCAGCACCCCCACCTTCCTGTGCAGCTTGGCTGTAGCCATGCTTTTTTACAATTTCCTCAGTGCTCAGACCCAGCGGGAAGAGGCCTCTTGGCTCTGGCTCCCAGAGAGTTTTAAAAAGTGCAGAGACAGCTTTCCCAGGCTTTACCACAAGGGATTTTAAACACCAAGCCCAGAAGCTCTGGCCAGGAGTGGGGGATCAGAGGCCCCTGGCAGACTTTAAAGTCCCCAACAGGGGAAGCCATTGGCCTCCCTGACTTCCATCCAGAGGCTCTGAACTCCTACACTGAACAACCTGGCCAGAGCTGTTGGGTGCAGCATTCTGACAATCAGCTGACTGTTGGCTGGGCCTGGACAGCCCCAGTCAGGTCCAATAATCAACTGATTGCTAGCTCACTGCACTGGGGATTTGCATGACAATCAATCAGCTGATTGTCAGCACCAGACCAGATAGCATCAGAGCCGATTCAAGTCCCTGGTGTGGTCTCAGGACAGAACTGATAATCAGCTGATTACTGGTCCTGGCTGGACCTGCAGGCACTAATTTTTCAACTTGCCAGCATAGAGGAAACCTGAGATGATGATCACACTCTCCCCCTATTTAGCATTTTCTACTGGCCCCCAGTAGTTGACTCCTTGTTTAGTGCTTACGTGCTCTTGAGTCACATAAATGTGTTCATTGCCTAAATGGGAGAGCTATGCGCCTCTGCAGGGCAGAAGAGGATTGCTCTCTTGAAGCGAAATGTATTTTTGGAACAGGTGGAATGAGCCATTATTTTTATAGTAGTTTGGGATTCTTGATATGAAACCACTTAAAAAAAAAACGAAAAATATTATTTTATCTTATGATCAAATGTTTTATTGGTCCAATGTTGACCGAAGGTGCTTAATGAACTCTTTTGTTATGGACCGTAAAAACAAACGTATAAATAGAAGCCAACCCATGTGGAAGAGAACAAATGCCAATATAAAAGAAATTTCCCTCTCTTAATTCAAAAAGTTATAAACACAGACCTGAGAGAAAACAGGTTCAGTTTATTTGACTCTGTTCCTGTGCCTGATTTCTAAAGGTTTGGACTTCTAGATTGCAAAAGCCATGAAGTAGTAAATGTCTTACCCTTCTCTTTCATCATCTGTGTTATAGTAAACCTGTAGGGGTGGAAAGAGAACAAATGTATTGGTTCAGCACATAACTGCTCTGTAAAAAGTTCAAACAGAAAGAAAAATCAACACCCAATCTGCAATTTTGCAGCTGTTAAATATTTTTCATTTTAGAAAACAAACATGTAGGCTCCTTATTGTGATCTGAACAAAATGTAGCTTAGAACAACTAGTGATGCATATTTCCTAATGGAAGTGTATTAAAGCACTGTGACAAAACTCATAACCCAATCTGGTTTATATCACTCTTTCAATCATTAGAAAGCTGTAACAATCCTGTCAATTGGATTACTGCTTGCTTCAATTAACCTAATGTGGATTTAAGCCACAAGAGTCACACACTTTTTTGCATATTTAAAAGTTGAGCAATCTAATTATAATATAAAGACTAATACACAACTAAAGTTCTATTGGAAATGTAGTTTGGTATCAGTATAAATGATACATATTTGTATATAGCGTATACTGGAAACAGACACAAGGCCAGATCCCAATCGCATGTAAATCTGCATAGTTTGAATTCACTGGAGCAATTTATTTATTTATTTATTTTTAAACTAGCAAAGGATCTAGCCCACATTCTGCAACAGAAGTATACAGATATACTCAGTACTCACATAATGCCCCCACCTTCAAAATGCTTTACAAAATACTTGGACTGTCACAGTCCTCCCAACACTCATGTGAAAAAACAGACTTATTTACTGACCAGTATGAGTGCCCTGCTGCTGGATTCATGTAGAACAGCATATCTCAACACATGGGTCCTGACCCAAAAGTGGGTTGCAAGAATATATGAAAGAGTTGTGAACAAACTATAAAAATGGAGTCTCCTTTAAAAGGAGAACAATGAGGGAAACTGTAGCTTTTCTCTTTTCCAGACTACAAGGGGCTGCTTGGGGCCCCTCAGACCCCACACACACCCTCCCTTCCCCATATACTTGGGGGCTTAGATCTGGGGGCAGAGTGCAGTGGCTCAGGAGTGAAGGGCAGGACTGACCATTGATATTTATGAAATGGGTTCTGGTACAAAAAAGTTTGAGAACCAGTGGTGTAGAACATTTGGGAGTTGCGGCCCAGAACTAAAACCACATGTTCTAATCTCATAGACTTCCTGGACAAGTGTCTGAAAGCCTAGAGCAGGGATTCTTAACCTGGGGTCCACAGACCCCCAAGGGGTCTGTGGACAGATTTCAGGGGGTCCGTGAACTTAGATGGGAAAAAAATTACATCTTTATTTTCACTAACCTCTAACTGAAATTTAGCTTTTCCTTCAATTATGAATGTAGGCAACAAACCACAGTAGTATTAGCAGTACCTGTGACTTTGTCACCAATAGAAATCACAGATATTTTCATATCACATTACAGTTGCTGCAGATATCTCGTTTACGCTCATCACTACTTTGAAATTACGGTAGTTATTAGACCCACCGCTAGATGGCACGTGATTGCAGTCTTCCTGTCTACAGACGCTCATTATTCTGAGAAGGGGTCCATAGGCTTCACCAGACTGCCAAAGGGGTCCATGGCACAAAAAAGGTTAAGAACCCATGGTCTAGAGCAAGGAGCTTCACTGGGCACTAGTGGCACTGAGCACCTTGTAAGACTGTGCTTGTTCAAAGAGAATAGTACCACTCATCCTGCCTCAAAGAACTAAATTCAATGTGGCAAAGCAGTACAAGCTCTTCAGATGGAAGGTGTTGCACATCTATAAAATATCATCATAACATGTTTTGAAAGTAAGCAATACCTACTTCTGAGCAATACAAAACAACAGGAGAAGGCGGCTACTCATGGTACCAAGATACCAACATATACAACAGTACAGCAGATAGGTTTGCATATTGCCTATGAGCTTGCAAACAAAACAGAGATATATTCTATTTAGCTGAGAACACTATTGACAAGATTACCATGTACGAGGGAACGATTCTACCTTTTCCTTTAATGTAAATACACATTCACACTTGAGAGAAGGCACCTACTGCTCATATGCAACTGGGAGCCTTTCTAGTGCTGGAGACTAATTTTAGTGATTACAATGTCTAAGGTCTATGTGCTTTTGCTTTTCTAACTGCTCTAAAACTTAACAATAAACTCATCCTCAATGCCAGTTTAATCTGTTACTTTTACACCTGTAGTGAGAAGAACATGTTTCTACAGAGAAATTTGGTGACTCCACATCTTTGTCTTGATATACACACACAAACACAAGCAATGCTCCATTTCCTACAAGGGTGCACAGTTAATGTATTCATGCTTAGGAAAAAGCTACTGATGGATTTATAATCAAGATTTGCAGCTTTTCTGAGAAGTTACAAAGTGATGAAGCTAGCAAAGACTCTGCCATATTCAGTTCACAGATCTTAGAAATAAGGAAGTATGATCATGAATACTAGAAGCAATGATACCTATCTTCAGAATTACTATCTGCATTTTAGAGTGCAAAATTCTTCAAGGAACTATAGATACCTAGGTGACTGACACTTGAGCTATAAAATCATAGGATGATAGGAAGGTAGGGCTGGAAGGGACATTATAAGGCCATCTAGTCCAGCCCCTTCCTCAAGGCAAGATCATCCCTGAGTAAACCACCCCATCCAGGGGTCTGTCTAATGGAAAATAGGGAGTTTTCTCCTCATGGAAACAGCTCAGAAAGTTAAAGTTTGATTATATTTGCCACTATCTTAGAGTCCTTTGTTTTAAATCATCACGTGGGTGGCTGTTCCTTCTACCACAAGGTGGCACTTTATCCCAGAAACCTAATGAAAAGAAAAGGATTGTTCATCTGTGTCACAGATCAACTCCTACTTTCAAGGTCCTAATTATTTAATCCCCTCATATTTACTGAATTAACTCCTTTCCTCCCATGCAGAACTAGGAAAGCTTCTCTCTGAGGTCCAACTTGTTCACTTTCCTACTGGGCTAGCTAAGAGCAATGTTTAGAGTTAAACAAACAAACATACAAAAAACACCAAGATGGTTAAAAAATAAAAAAACAGCCACCAGAAATTCTGCTTTGATTCCATGAAGCATACAGCATATGCAGCTGGATTGCTGTCAGACACCTGTACTTTCATTGTTGACACCTACCTGTCCAGTCCTTTGTAGGTTTCCAAAGTGAACATCTGGTATGAAGAGAACTGGCTGGGAATCCAGGTCAGTCATTGTTTTGAAGTAGGTGATGTCGCTCTTTTTTTGCAGAGGGATAGCAGTCAATTTCCCTTCAGCTGCTAATGGGATCACAAGGCAATGGTGTTATGATTGGTAGCTTAATAAACACAAGGTGGTCTAATCTGGAAGGACCTTGTCTTACTCACAGTTATTGCATGGGCCTTGTGCTGTTTGGCCTTTCCCTTTCTTTCGGTTTTGCTTCCTCTCTTCATCACGAATTTTTCTCTCTGCTCCCTGATACAAAAAAAAAGAACAGAAAATCCAATATTATCCCAAGTTGCAACTAACTGAACTGTTGCATTCCTGTACAGTATATGGTGTCTACACACCAGAGCAATGGGTGCATTAGAAATGCATGCAGAGTTCTCTACAAATCAACCTGAGTACCACAGTCAACTGTATCATTTTCCTGTTTGTGGACACTCCACTGTTATACTGAGAAGTCTAAAGGACCTGACAGTCTGTTAAACCTTGCTTTCATTGAACTTCTTTTTAACATCTCCTATACCTTTGCTAGCCAAGGTAAGCTCTGTTTCTGATAGCTCTGAAAAGCATTCTGAGATTGACTGAAGACAAGGACTTTGGGAGAATTAACTACTAGAAATGGTGAGAGTGCTAACATAGCCCAGCCCCCCTAGGAGTGTACAAAGCCATACCTTTCAAGCACATAAACAAAGTTATAGACATTTAAAATACAGGGAAGTACTTAAGAGACTTTTTAAACGGCTAGTGTTGACCCAAGAGGCCCTAAGTGCTCCTTAGCAGTCACTGCGCTCTGCTTTACAAATACCCTCCAAGGAGTTTAGAAAACAAAACATGCAATTTGATGCTAAGTAGCAAAACCTCCTTTGAAGCTGTTCTAATATATTGTACAAATAATATAGGCATTCTATTGAGCATATTACAAATTCATATACCCCAAGGCAGTCAGTGTTCAGTATAAAATGCCCCAAGTTTTTCAACCTAAAAATAAGTTTCTTTTATTTTTCTAAAGCCAAAAATATTCACTTGAAGCCAATAAAATTCACACATGCTTATCCAAAATGAAAGGAATTAAGAGAAAAGAATGGAAAGGAGGCTGAAAACAATTTTTAGACTAACCCAACACATAAATGATGCTGCTCCTAAGTGCAATGGGAGTAATATCCACTTGGCGGGATGAACTTATTTATCCTTGAAAAAAATCAACACTTAGAACAGTAAAATCTGACCCTGAGCTAGGTTCTGATCCTACCCCCACTGACCTCAATCACAGTAGGACTGTCCCACCCTCTTTATAATTATGCATATAAATTATATTGGATTAAGATGACACTCTAACAAAACAGGCTGTTTACTTTTTTCATCCTTGCAATTTTTCTTGTTAAAAGAAAAAAGGACATTTTTCTGTCAAGAGTGTCATCCTGTGAAAACAGTGTCACTATTATCAAGTCAGTTCTATACACTCTTTCTTCTGGAACTTGCACTGTTCGTACTTAGATGATGTAAATTCAAAGTAATTTCAATGAAACCAGTAAGAGTTACTCTAGGCTTACACAGGTGCAATTAGGAGCAGAGAAAACTCTGGCTGATAGCATTATACAGTACTCTCTCCTTTAAAATTAGTTGCACAATCTGTAAACATATTGAAAGGAATAGTAGGAGAGTGTAACTTCCTCATACAGAGTCAAAATGTCCTCCTGGCTTTCCAGTTAGCTAGGGTTTAAAATAGATCTTCACTTTGTGCTCACTGTAATTGCAATACCTGTTAGCATTCGGTGACTCTACAACGACAGACTGTGGGACCTGACCCTGTTCAGCCTTCACAAGAGAAGTTCTGAGGGGGGACCTGGTGACCATCTATAAACTCACTAGGGGGGACCAGAACGGTCTGGGAGAGACCTTGTTTCCCCTACCGCCCTCTGGCATAACAAGGAATAATGGCCACAAGTTGTTGGAGAGGAGGTTTAGATTAGACATCCGTAAGAACGATTTCACAGTTAGGGCAGCTAGGATCTGGAACCAACTTCCAAGGGAAGTGGTGCTGGCTCCTACCCTGGGGGTCTTTAAAAAAAGGCTTGATGCCTACCTGGCCAGAGTCATTTGAGCCCAGTTTTTCTCCTGCCCAGGCAGGGGGTCAGACTTGAAGATCTACAAGGTCCCTTCCGACCCTACTCTTATGATTCTATGACGACTCTGCTTTCTAGGTTCTGCTGCAGCATCACTGTTTGACTGACAGCATCAAGGGAAAATCCTGACTTCAGTTAAAAAATTTAAATCCAGAGTAATTCCATTGATTTCAATGGAATCTCACCATGTATATTAAAAATTCTGTACTGCCTCCATATCAGCTGGCTTAAGTACAGGACAAGTCATTTTAATTCAGGTGTATGTATTTTCACCAGAGAACACTGCAATTGGTGTTAATTCTGTTTGAGAGAGAGAGATTTCCCTCATTACTTGCTGAATATTTCTCATATTACTATGTACATGCATTTTATTGCTTTCTTCCAGTATTTTCTGGGGGCAAAAAAACTGATCCTAGTCTTCTGTGTTGTCTTTCTTCACTAAAGCCAAATGCTATTGGTTTCACCACTTTCCATATTACCACTTCCAAAGACATCCAAAACCCAAAAGGACAGAAGCAAATCTCAGATAGAGACTCCATTCCTGATATCTTGCATTTACTTGTTGCCATTTATTTAAATCAGGGGTAGGCAAAATGGAGAATCTAGCCAGCAGCCCGACTCCATTTCCCAGCAGCCCCTGCCCACATAGCTGGGGCCGGTTTCCATGGAGACCCCAGCAGCTGCCCTGCTGTGATAGTGCAGGGCCAGGGTTTCTGTGGAGACCAGCCCCAGCAGCACTGGCAGGGCGCACAGCACTGTAGATAGTTGCTCTAGGGCTGGCTGGGATCTTGCAGTGGTCACAACATGATCCAGAGCCAGGGCAGAGCCACAATTTGCAGCCTATACTTTCCAGGCAGGGGTGTGCAGGCAGAGGACTGCAGCTCTATGCTGGCTCCTTGTAGTGGTGACAACAGCTGGGGCAGAGCT